GAGGATCTAGAAAAGCGAATTCCTCGCTTTACTCATCTCAGAGATAACAAAATCACAACCGAATGGAAGGCAGCTCCTAAAGTTTGCTACTTCTGTGATCAGGAAGGGCATATAAAAAAAGAATGCCTTCAATTCAAAGAGTCAGTCTCATTAAGACAGCATTATAGAGAGTTCAAAGAAGCATCCAAAACAAAAAACAGAGACTACCTTAACGAAGCAGCCCAAGAAACAAAGAGTCCTTCAAATACTGAAGAAAAAGAGAACCTGAAAGAGGAAGAAACAAGCATAGAAAAGTCCGATAAACAAGAAACAAGAGATATTTCGCACAGTACAGACGAAGAAATGGAAGATACCCAGGAAAGTGCTAAACAAGCAACCACTTTCTCAGAAGCAGAGCTCACAACAAGAGATGAGCTTGCACTAGATAACCCGTACCTTAAGGATAATGACAAGGAAAATAATCCTCCTCATAAAAATACATCGTCAGAAATTCCAATGGAAGAAGACTTTACAACTGTATCTTACAAGAGGAAGAAAAAGAAACAAACAAACCAAAGTATACGTAAACAAGCAACAGTAAGACAAGCTCCATACAAGAAAGGACGAACAGAGGAGAATCCTCCAAAAGCTCAATAAGAGCACACCTACCTCTATAATATCTGATGACTAAAGCAATAATTAAAATTGCTACCCTAATTATTGAGATACAGGATATCCAAAGCTCCTTCAATGAAATAATGATCTCACTTTATGAAAGTGTTAAACAAGATGTTATAGCAGCAAAGCAACATTTCAAAAAGGGTAACCGCACACACTTGGAGATTATCTTCTCTAACAAAAATACCCTTAGCCAACATGCAGCCAGGGGAATTAATATCTTCAACAAATCATACTTCGGTTATATCCCAACAGACTCACGCAAATCTTTCCTTCCAGTCAAACTTAGAAATGTTCCATTAGGAGGAAAAGAAGAAATAACAATGCTAATCAAAGATGCATTTCAAGACTTTGGCAAAATAGCCTCAATCAAACCATTAGTAATCGAGGGAACACCATATCTAACTGACCAATGGATTGTCATTTTTGAGAACACAGACGATGAGGATCTAGAAAAGCGAATTCCTCGCTTTACTCATCTCAGAGATAACAAAATCACAACCGAATGGAAGGCAGC